CACATACATTCTCCTGTCTGTTGGTGGGGAGTGGCACCTGCTGGAAACTGGGTCCAGCGTCCCATGAACATTGTAAATAACACACCAGTTGGGACATAACACACACTCTTCGAGTTTGTGTATAGGGAACATGGCAAAACATACACAGAGCATAATACGCACAGCATAATCACTACCTTACGCCTCCCCAACCACATCAGCAAACAAACTACGGGCTGCGTAGCCGTGCCCTCACGGTCAGTCGATAAAATTATCATATGGGGCGCTGGGCCCTTTCGCCAGTGCGTGCTGCTCCCCACGTATAGATTGGAACAAAAGAAAAAAGGCAAAAGAAAAAAAAGAACCCTCCAAAACAGGATGATAGATTCAGTGCGGAAAGGAGGCATACATAACAGTTCCCATTTGGAGGCTGTTGTGATTTGCAGGCACACTACACATGTAGGTTGGTTGTTGAATGAAAGAACACACTGATGGATCTCATAGCTGTGCACTAAATCTTGTTGAAAAACAAATCACTGGGGGAAATGAGAATGGCCCTAAGCTTGTGAAAGAGAGAGCTCCACCAGAGCATCCACTAGAATTGGAATGCTACAGAGAAGATTAGCATGGCCACTGTGCAAGGATGGCGTGCATGAATCGATAAACGGTCCATATTAGGGGGAGGAAAGGGTAAAAAAAAAAAAAAAAAAAAAAAGTGGAAAGATACACCTGGGCATTGGGCAACACCTGCACCAAGTCTTGCAAGGTCCAGCTGGTCAGAAAGTCACAGATGCACCTGGCCACATGCATCGTATAGATGCAGAATGCCAGCGTATTACAGGCGAAAAGGAAGAAGACAAAGGGGTTTAGGTGTGTACAGTGTACTCTTCCCAGAAGGAACAAACTCGTGAGAGCAAAATGATCAAAGGTTCCAAAAAAAGAAAAAAGAAAAAAAATGATTGAAGGCTTACAGGCCATATTCACACTGCCGTCGTCACCTGGACAGAAGCCCCGGTCATTATATGTGCATCTGGACTGAAAGTTGCCCCAAATTCAATGACCGGGAAATCTATTCCGTTGAAGATGGTGGCACTGTATTGAGTGATCCCTGGACGCGGTCGAACACATCCAAGACTGGGTGTACTCGTCAGCAGATACATCCAAGATAGGACCTCCCTCCACCACTCACCACATGCAGAAAAGACAAAAATTATGGTCATGTACCTTTCAGTGTTCTAGTGAAAGATTCATTCGCATTTTGCAGATTTGGTGAGGACTGGTGGAGCGAGGGCCATGGTCCAATTGTCGGGACCCCAGCCCAGCAATACTTGTGGATGAAAGATAACAAAAACCACACAAGACGGAAGATTGCTCGCCTCCCGCACAAGGAAAAGCGAGAAAAAAATGCATTGAATTTGGAAGGAACCCAAGCACATACTTAATAGTGGAATGATGTGTCCAACACTGCAAGCACCAATCCCGATCCGCATAACATTCCCTCATTTGGAGACCTTGTCGCAACTAAAAGGCTGATGGTGGGTGGGTGGGTGGGTGGGTGGGTGGAAAGAATGTGCCCTCCCAACACCCTTATGTCCTTCTTCCATGCAGCATAATCATGATAATCCATTCTGTGAGGCCCCTCACTTGTACCTCACACAAGTGACCTTACTACCATCCAGTGGCATCCACACGTTCTCCCATCCCACCATAGCTCTCAGATCTTTAGCTGCAACCAGCATAATTCTCTCTCTCTCTCTCTCTCTCTCTCTCTCTCTCTCTCTCACACACACACACACACACACACACACACACACACACACAC